TTCATTTCAACAATTTACATATGAAAATATAAATATCTTTATACACGCCATCACCTAGAATAAATCTCTTTTCTATTATTTTTCAAACTCAAAATATTATTGTTTTGGAAGATTTAGGATTTTAAAACATTGAAATCAATTGATTTTAAAGATTTAAATACTATGGATGACATTGATTTGGAACAGAACAGCAATAGAAATGTCAGTTTATTTTGTTATTTATCTTGTTCGTATTGATTTGGAACGAAAGATTGATGTTCATCTTTACAACAATGGCTTATTCATTTCGTGCGTACACAGATTTGAACATTTACAAAATGTTCAATTAGTTATATTTGAATATAATCATTTTGTTCATATTATTAAAATTGAACAAGTATTAAACGTTCATACATAAAAAATTAAATATTTTGGTTTTGTTCGAATGTAAATTTGTGAACATATTAAGTTTTTTCAACACTGTATTTATGAATAATACTAAAACTATTTTTTTGTTTAAATTTTTGCAGAATACCACCCCAATTGCTTCGTCGCCGAAAAATTTCAACCTACTATTTGGTTCTCGCCATTTGCTCTCACGTTGCTTTCATAAATTCAACACAAATTGGGTGGTGAGAGAGACACATGAATCTAAAATTACCGTGAATAGTATTTTGGACCCTATTGTCTTTTTAACTTTGGTTTGGTGGTGCATACATCATCTTGTGTTAGAGTGTGTATTGTGTTGTGTGGGTTAGGCTAAAAGAGTAATATTATGTTGTGCGTTAAGTGAAAAATCAAAAGTTTAAAATATTATTGATGTGAACTAAATAATATGTGTACTGAAAGCATTGATGGTGTGTAAATGGAATCACCCAAAATTAAACAGATAAAAAAAAATTCAACAGATAGATTAAGGGTTACAATTGAAAAGAAAATGTCCTCTAAAATAATAAAATGTACTTCTCGCCAGAATAATTCACAAAGAGTGTACTTCTCACCCAAGAAAAATACTCATGGGATCTAATGCTTTACACCCTCTTTAAATAAGACTTTTCACCAAAATGGTTCATTACACCAAGACCTACTCAATTATTAACAAACATTAGTTTTACTTTTTAATCTATGAACCTATATATATTGACCTCTTAACTATGAAAATAGTATAAATACACCTATTTTGAAGTGGCCTGGAATGGGTGAATGCAATACATTTTTGTAGTTGAGGGAGTCAAAATGCACGAGTTCATAGATTAGGGGATCAAAGTGATATTCGCTTTTAGTTTAGGGGATCTTGGTGTGATTAACTCAAAATAAAATGTATGTATTACATTTATTTAAGATATAGTCCACATAACACTAAATTAATTGAACCAAGAGGTTTTGGCTTATGTGGCTAACCGTTTGGCTACTAAATCTCTCTTAAGGAAAGTCTCGTGTTTCACTCTTAGGAATGGAATGAGAGACAAAACTTAAGTGATTGCAAGGAGTGAGTATAAGTTAAACTCCCCTTATATGCTAATCTGACAACGAACTATTAAATTTCGTCAATAAAAAAAAAAATTAAATGTACATTATACACTCACTTTTGGGATATGTTTACAAAGGTAATTGCTTGTATTGTGAATGTAACAACCCTCATTTTGACTTAGTCATACTTGCTTACATATATGGATAATCTTGTATTAATATGTGCATTTGCGAATATTGTCCTGTTTTTGAATGATTGCTTGCATGCTTTGTTCTTGGCTGGGGTGTTGTCGAGGTCATCTTAAGCCTTGGCACCTTTGAGACCTTTGTCACTTAGAACTATCTTAGAACCCTGTTGGCTGACCTCCGTCTTCGCCCCAGCATATTGGCCGAGATGTCACCATCTAGGCCGAGGTGCGCGTTGCCTAGGTCGAGATGTGCACCATCTGGGCTGAGATGTTAATATCTAGGCGTCCTAGATCCTTGATCCTTGCATGAATGATTTTGTTCCTGGAATGGTATGACCTAGACCGAGGTGTGGCACACCTAGGCCAGGGTGTGGCACAGTTTAGTCAATTGTTGTCCCTCCAAGCCGATGTCCTTGCCCCTTGATTTCCGGAGTCTTGTTTTAGCCGATGTCGTTTCTTGTCGATGTGTTCGTACCGCCTAGCTTGCTGAGTACGCTTTGTCTTGGTCTTGTCTTGTCAAGTCAGTCACCTTTTTGAGTTGAGCGAATCAGCCGATGCCACGTGTCCCGACAGAGGGATTAAGTCAGTGTTTGTCGTGTGAGGCATTTCATTTTTTTTGTATCAACCTTGCCTTTTTAGAGAGAGAAACTCTAGTGAGAAGAAGGAGAAGTTTGAGCTAGAGAGGGTGACTTCCAAGCTTGATCGTTAGAGCTTGAGCCGTTAGATTCGAGTTTTGAGGTTAGAATCTTAACCTATTCTTGTTGTTCTTATCCGTTATCTAGCTGCATTGCACGATCAAACCTGTTTTATACACCATTCATCGATTTAAAGTTGGTTTTAGAAAGAGAAAACGGTTTTCATGTGTTTTTGAAGAAAAGCCTCGTTTGATCCGAAAGTTTGCATCGAAGCTCATGCATTTGTGTTTGTTTTGGTAAGATCCTTGAGTATGGGTACCCAGGTCCTCGTTTTCGTAGTTGTGGCATGAAATCTCAGCTTTTGTATAGCAAGTTTGATCTTTGCATTCACCTTCCTCATGTTCATGTTCTTCAAGTTCTTCATGCTCATGTTCTCCATATTTATCAAGAGGGAAACCCGGATTTTTCCCGACTTCACTTTTGAATGTGGCCATCGAGGCTACACCTCGGCAAGGAGGTGTGGGACCTCGGCCTAGACCTGGTAGCTGCCCAGTGTGTTTTTCCAAGGATAAGAAACTGTGTTTCAACTCGATTGACTTAGTTTTTGTAGAATGCTGAGGTCATTTGCATGTGTGCTAGACTTGTTTTGAGTAGTGCATTCAATGGACTTTGCCATGTGTTTGTAGGACTGGGACTTGCCTTGACCCCGATGTTTGACGAACTAGGTTAGTGGTTTTTTTAATAAAGTTATGTTATACGTTTTAATGAAGGCTTTGCTTTGTCTTGCTTTGAAAGTGTTTGTAAAGCATGAATAATTGTCCCTGTTTTGTATATCAAGTATGAGTTTGTCTTGATGACCTTCTTGGAAAGTCCCTCATGCTGGAGGACTCTAAACTTTCGCAGCACATCTCGTTTGAAATTCCCTCGTGCTGGAGGACTCTAAACTTTCGCAGCACATCTTGTTTTGAAAGTCCCTCGTGCTAGAGGACTCTAATCTTTCGTAGCACCCTTGATTTGTACTCTAGTGTTAAAGGGCTACGGGCCTTTGTAATATAGGTCCCTCGTGCTGGAGGACTCTAAACTTCCGCAGCACATCTTGTCTTGAAAGTCCCTTGTGCTGGAGGACTCTAAACTTTCGTAGCACCCTTGTTTGAGATGTCTATCTTGCTTTGTCTTGTTTTGCCACGGACGATCTACCGCGTGGTATGTTTGCCGAAGTGTTATTATTTGTAATATGTGATGCTAGCACGTACACGTTTGCCGGAATGTTATTGTTTGTAATATGTGATGCTAGCAAGTATCCCTTGAAACTTGGAGATTTGTTAGGTGGACGAGGTCCATTCCTTCCTTATATATATATAGAGTTTTGTCTTGCATTGTTTTGAAAGGATTTCGGCTATTATTCATGCAAACCCGTTTATTATTTATGTCATTCACTGGGTATCCAAGCTCACCCTCTCTATATATATGTAGGTGATGAACAAGGAGGCGGTGACGGAACTAAATAATATGTGTACTGAAAGCATTGATGGTGTGTAAATAGAATTACCCAAAAATTAAACAGATAAAAAAAATTCAACAGATAGATTAAGGGTTAAAATTGAAAAGAAAATGTCCTCTAAAATAATAAAATGTACTTCTCACCAGAATATTTCACAAAGAGTGTACTTCTCACCCAAGAAAAATACTCATGGGATCTAATGCTTTACACCCTCTTTAAATAAGACTTTTCACCAAAATGGTTCATTACACCAAGACCTACTCAATTATTAACAAACATCAGTTTTACTTTCTAATCTATGAACCTATATATATTGACCTCTTAACTATGAAAATAGTATAAATACACCTATTTTGAAGTGGTCTGGAATGGGTGAATGTAATACATTTTTGTAGTTGAGGGAGTCAAAATGCACGAGTTCATAGATTAGGGGATCAAAGTGATATTCGCTTTTAGTTTAGGGGGTCTTGGTGTGATTAACTCAAAATAAAATGTATGGATTACATTTATTTAAGATATAGCCCACATAACACTAAATTAATTGAACCAAGAGGTTTTGGCTTATGTGGCTAACCGTTTGACTACTAAATCTCTCTTAAGAAAAGTCTCATATTTCACTCTTAGGAATGGAATGAGAGACAAAACTTAAGTGATTGCAAGGAGTGAGTATAAGTTAAACTCCCCTTATATGTTAATCTAACAACGAACTATTAAATTTCGTCAAAAAAAAAAATTTAAATGTACATTATACACTCACTTTTGGGATATGTTTACAAAGGTAATTGCTTGTATTGTGAAGGTAAAAATTAAGAAAGAAAGCCTTGTCAACATAGTATGTAAGAATCACTTTAAAAATAAATAAATAAATAAATAAAAACACAGAATACAAGAATGCTAATATGTATTTCATTTCCTCAAGTTCAAATTCAAGAACTTGCATCTTAATCAAGGAGATTACATACTTCTATTGCAAAAAAACTTCATAAAATTGTCCAAAAAGAAGTAGTACCAAGAGGTCATGCACATTTCAACAAGGTGAAACCAAGCTTGTCGCCAATGAGGATTTATGAACAAAACTGCAACAATCCCCAACAACACAATAATATATGAGACTAGAAAGCTGACATAGAAAACCTCTATATCTATGAAACCACCGTCTTCAATCTCTCTATCCAGGCCTTTTGACATTGTTGATGTTGGTATAGTTTTATTACAGTTGGTTTGCAAGGGAAATCCGCAGAGAAGGGGATTTCCCTCATAGCTACTTTCTTCAAAAGTTGCGAACTGAGCTTTTTGGTCTGGGGTCGCACCTGATAAGTTGTTGTATGCCACACTAAAGACTTCCAACTTGTCCAATTCAATCAATTGAGAAGGGATCTTTCCATTCAATCTATTGTAAGAGAGATCCAAACTTTCTATTTGCTTTAGTTGTGAGAATGTTGATGGGATTGATCCGAATAAATTGTTATGAGACAAGTTTAGATCACGGATGTTGCTCAAGTTTCCCATTTCCAAAGGGATTTTCCCTGTTAAGTGGTTGCAAGAGAGATCAACTCCAGACATGTAGTCCAAAATATTGCCTTTATATGCATAGGATCCATGCTTTGTTGTGAACTCCACTTTTTGTTGGACATCCAAAGAGTGGAAGCCAATACTTTTATATGCAATATCCATCGGATAATGGTCTTCTAGTGACTTTGACCCCTCGACAAAGCTCCACAATGCAAATGTTAACTCCAGACATGTAGTCCAAAATATTGCCTTTATATGCATAGGATCCATGCTTTGTTGTGAACTCCACTTTTTGTTGGACATCCAAAGAGTGGAAGTCAATACTTTTATATGCAATATCCATCGGATAATGGCCTTTTAGTGACTTTGACCCCTCGACAAAGCTCCACAATGCAAATGTTAAAAAATATTCATGATATCCAATTTCTAGAGAAGATTTTTCATGGGTTGTCTGAAAAGGTATTTCACGAAAACAAAGAGGTATGGGACCAGAAAAGTTATTTTCAGAAACGTCCAATATGCTTAATTGTTTCAACTGGCATAATTGAACTGGAATTTCACCTTCAAAATTATTAAATTTTAAGAGAAGAATGCTCAACACATGAAGGCTTCCAATCCAACTGGGAATAGTACCATTTAGGTGGTTATCGCTAAGATCTAATGTCACTAAAGAAGAACTATTGTAAAATGCATGCGTCATTGGACCGCTCAACTGGTTTCGGTTCAAGTGGACATGTTTTACTGTCGATTGGTTGAAGCAAGACAGTATAGAACCAGACAGGTTATTATCTGAAACGTCTAAAAACTGAAGATAACTAAGTTTGCAAAACTCTACTGGAATAGGACCTTCAAAATGATTTGAGAACATAGCAATTCCCATCAAACTGGACATGTTCCCCATCCATCTTGGAAGCTTTCCATACATGTGGTTGTTGCTAATATCAAGTGCTTTCAAAGAAGGGAGAATAGATACACTATCTGGAAATTTGCCTGTGAAATGATTATTGTCCAAATATAAGCATGTCAATGTGGTCAAATTTACAAACGAAAGAGATATTTGGCCAGACAAATTATTGTTTGATAGTTTGAAGAAGGATAAATAGGGGCAACCAATTGTCAAATGCTTTGGTATCTGTCCAGACAAATTA